GGTTTTATTTTATTCTTTTTTTTTTTTTTACCTGAATAAGAAAGGTTAGAAGGAAGGGGATCATAATAAATGTTTTTCCCGAGCAAAATCCTATTAAACACACTATAATTAACGAATTCCTATTTCAAAACCAATTCATTATTATCAATAATATTTTCTAGAAATTACACCAATCTAAAAAACCATGATAAAATTCAAAATTTTACCCAAAATAAAAATAGCACTTAAATAAACATTTCAATATAAACAAATCTACTTCCAAAATCATTAAATTTGAACAAAAGATATCACAATACATCTAATAAATTAATTATTTATATATTACCAAAAACAACTAACCATAATTTAGGCAACGGCATTAATTTGATCCCTTTTATCTGGGCCATATTGGACGTCGGTTTTTCCTGCCTCGTTTTCCAACCCCGCGCTCGTTTTATCTGGCCCCCTATCACCGTTTTCCCAACACCGCGCGTCAGTTTTATCTGGCCGGCAAGGGAAAAAGAGCTTGAAGAAAGGAGCCCACGGCGACGGTCCTTGGGCTAGACCGACGCACAGGCTTTGCAGCTTTCAAAAAAAGAAAAAAGAATAGAAAAGAAAAAAGAAAAAAGTACATCGAGCTGTTGGTTAGTAAGAAGTGGCAAGGGGGAGATTGGAACCCAAGGTAGTAGGAATTTTATACGAGGGATGGGATCGAAGCGCTTCAAAATAGAAACACACGGGGCAGGGGGGGGGACTAGCTTGCAGCTCCCTGACTCGTTGTCCAACCCCGCGCTCGGTTCGGTCGCAGCCCCCTATCTCGTTTTCCAACCACCGCGCTCGTTTTATCTGGCTCAACTTTCTGTAGAGCTTGAAGAAGAGGAGCTTAAAGAATGTAAAACGAGCTTTGGTTTAGCTTGCAGCTCCTTTGTCTCCTTCGTTGTTGCCGCGCCACCTTTCGCTAAGCAAACTGCTGCTACACAATTTGTTGAAAAGTAATACTTGAGAGGAGGAACTGGGCCAATACTCACTTGGACGCTGTAGGGGACTCGTTCTGAACTCGTTTTGAACTCGTTTTGGAACTCGTTTTAACATGGCCCGCTTTTGGACGGCTGAAAATTGCCCAGGGGCAAATCTTGAACAAACCAGCTACGCTGCTTCTTCGCAAGTTTGCTTCACACCCTTTTGCAGTTAGGCATCGTAGGGTTGGCCAGTACTTGCCCCGGAAAGTCTGTGGTAAGTTGCCACGGACCATGCGACGTAGGTCGTCTACTCTACACTACAGCTAACAACCTTGAACCCAAGACGCTCTGCCAGGCTGCACTTGACAAAATGTCATCCTAATCCATGTTATCATGCTTGTTTGCCCTATCTCGTTTTCGGGGTGTTCCCCAACTCGTTCTGCGGCTAAATATGCACATTTCCAAAAAAATAGTTCCAGCCCCTTGCATGTTTCCATTAAGGTAAATAAAGTTAGTCGCTCATATGTTTAATATTTATTACAAAAGCACATAAGAGAAGAGGGGAGAAGGGAGGGAGGGGAGGGGAGAGGGAGAGGGGAAGAGAGAGGGGAGGGGGGAGGGGAAGAGGATTAGAAAGGAGAGGACGGGAGAGGGAAAAAAAGGGGAGAGGGGAGGAGAGAGGGGAGGGGAGAGGGGAGAGGGCAGGGGAGAGGGGAGAGGGCAGGGGAGAGGGGAGAGGGCAGGGGAGAGGGCAGGGGAGAGGGGAGAGGGCAGGGGAGAGGGGAGAAGAGAAAAAGAGAGCGAGAAAGAGAGAAAGAAAGAGAGAGAGAAAAAGAGAGACAAACAAAGAGAGAGGAGAGAGAAAGAGAGAGAGAGAGAGAGAGAAAGAGAGAGAGAGAAAGAGCGAGAAAGAGAGAGAGAGAGAGAGAGAGAGAGAAAGACAAAGAGAGAGAGAGAGAGAGAGCGAGAGAACAAGAGAGAGAGAGAGAGAGAGAGAGAGAGAGAGAGAGAGAGAGAGAGAGAGAGAGAGAGAGAGAGAGAGAGAGAGAGAAAGAGAGAGAGAGAGAGAGAAACAGAGAGAGAGAGAGAGAGAAAGCGAGAGAGAGAGAGAAAGAGAGATTAGGTCCTCCAGCAACGAGGTTAAACCGAGGGTACCCTATTTCGGTAGAAGGGTGTGGACAAGAAGGAGACAGGGAGACAAAAAGAGACAAAGATAGAGAGAAAGAGAGAAAGACAAATAAAGAGAGATAGAGAGAAGGAGATTGAGGAGAGAGAGGCTTGGGGGATGGGGAGGATCGGGAGCGGAGGGAAAGAGAGAGGACAACAAAATACGTAAAGGAGACAAGGGAGAAATGAAGAAGGACAATGTCGGCGGAGTGAGCCTGAGGCTCTAAAGTTGATAATTTATCATTTTATTAAATTAAAATTAATTAAACCTATAAATCAGCTTTTGGCGCATACTTCTAGAAGCAATTCAATCTTCTCCTTGGACCATCGGATCTATCAAGGTGGGATTGGAGTCGCAAATTCGTTGCAGCCAAGTCTCATCTAAATTCGGTACCTCAAGGGTCGTCGGTGTAGCTGGCAACTTTGTCCGAACGCTCGGCAGATAGCGGCAACTGAGCAAGCCCTCTTTCCACAAGGCCACCTCAGACAGGCAGGGGAACCAAAAGGAAAGGTTTCCCACTGGGTTTGAGACAAAACCGAATATGTAGCAGTCCATTCTGAACAGTCATTGCGGGGACCCTCCAATCCCTTTCAGTCTTGGCTGAAAGAGACCACGGCAGCCAAGCAGCTTCATCCACAATACTGGAAATGATCTCATGGATTTTCTCCGCAGCTTCCATCGCTCCTGCCATGGGCTCAGCGGAGCCTCACGTGTTGAAAGAAACCGAAGAAAGGCTGCGTGTGAATTCCTTGTCCCAAGAAATAAAGACTGACTGATCGCTCCTTTAAGGAGACTGACTGATCACCGGGAACATTCACGATTCGGACTCCATCAATCATGATATACGATCCAGCAACGGAGTACTTTTAACTAAACTAACCCTTCTGCGCGTTGCGATGCCTCCCGCGCGAAAAGCTCCGGCTGCTCCAACCTGCAGCGCGTAATCATATGCAGCCCCCCTGTCGTTTTTTGGACATGTGTTGCCAGCCTGACGGCGATTCTGCCAAAGCCGCAAGGCAGCTTGGCTTTGCTTCAGCAAAGACCCCTGCTGCTTCTCAAACCTGGGAGCATGGGCAAACGGGTGCGGGCACTTTCTTTCATGACCAGTCATGCACCAGGGAACTCCAGTGACTCCGGTGTCTACGAGACAAACCCTGGATGTGTAGGGTGAGATCTATCAAGTGATGAACCCACTCAAGGTTCCGCAAAGACCACCTCTGGCAGCTCAGAACAAACAACAAATATAAGAAATATTCCGATCATCATATCTAGCATTATATGATTACCATGTTGAATGTTTAGTGTAGTTTATTGATTTAGTCATGGCAAAGATGTAAGTTACAACAACCCTTGCCCCAGTAAGCCCGCACCAAAAAAAACAACAACAACACGGAGCCCCCTCCACTCCACCCAGCCCTCCCCCCGCATCCGCTGCAATTCAACGCCTGGAGTGCAAGGCGAGGCCCTCCGCGCGGAAGCCTTCCAGGCGAGCCACCAGCGCGGCCAGCAGCCGCTCCTGTCGAGGAACGAACCGGGCAGGGAATTCGAAATCCGTGGGGAAGCTGGGAATGGAATGAACCGGCTTTTGGGGGATTCACGAACCACCAGTTCGATGGAACCGGTTTGAAAGATTCCGGAACAAAGAACACCACCAATTAGATGGGGTTCTTGTTCATGGTAAGGGTCATTCCATGTCTCATTCTCTCACGTCCTGGGCGCCCGGGTTCTCGGCCAGGGCTTGGGCCACCGGACCCTCCGTGACGCAGAGCAGCCGGAGCTTGTCAGCGACCAGCTCCAGCGCCTGGGCCCACAGTGGCGAAAATTTGCCTTCGGCAGCCACGAAATGAGTCGTCATGAAAAATGAGTTGCCATATCTAGGGCCTCCAGTAAAGAGGTTAGAATAAGGGTACCCTATGGTACCCTTTTCTTGTAGTCTATTTTAGTAGTGGAACCCTCCCCCAAAAAAGGACAACCACCAGACTTTGGGTCCCCTCGATTTTGACACAATGCCATTGAAAGGGGTCGAGTCGCCTGCATCGATTTCATCGCCGAGCCTGCGCCAAGGTGCCCGCTTCTTCCGCGAACTTCTGGAACGCCTCTTGCAAGGTTCCCACCGATCGGCACGCCTGACGCGCCCAGGGCTGGGCTTCTTTGACATATCCGCAAAGAGCGATAGCCAGAAAGATCACACGTCAAACGAAAATACACGATGCCTATAGAAGAAACCTTCGTCATGGATGTCGCAAACCCCGTGGTGATGTCGTTATAGCTTGACTAGACATAGCAACTAATGCTCTTGTTCTTGGTCTTGTTTTAGGATTATTGAATGGGAAGCCATTGGAATTGGACGCATACGCAACAACTCCTCGATATTCCGCATCCTCCTCCCCAAAGCCTTGCGCACCGCTTCAGCTGCAGAAGCTTCAGCTTCACATGGCACGGTACAGCCAGGTGTAAACCTGTCCACAGCTCTCCAAGCTCTCCCTTTCTCACTCACTCACTCACTCACTCACTCAATCAATCAAATCAATCAATCCATCAACCAATCAATCAAATCACTCCCTCTCTCTCTCTCGCCCTCCCTCCCTCTCTCTCTCTCTCACTCTCTCTCTCGCCCTCCCTCCCTCCCTCCCTCCCTCCCTCCTCTCCCTCCCTCCCTCCCTCCCTCCCTCCCTCCCTCCCTCCCTCCCTCCCTCCCTCCCTCCCTCTCTCTCTCTCTGTCTGCTCTCACCAAGCTGCACCTGTGGCGATGCTTTTGCGCTCGGCCAGGAGGTTGGAAGGATGCCTTGGCAGCCTGGGCGCATCGAACGAGCGTGCGAGCAGCACTCAACACATCGCTGGAGGCCTGGTTCTGCACGGTGGAGGCCAGGTTTCTACTCACCCTCTCTCAGATGCCCAGTGGATTTGCATGGGGGGAAAAAAAAAACAGGCGTCCGTCCTTGGTTAGTTGACTTTAAAGGAATCGGACCCCAAAACCCACAAAACGTTGCAAAAGGGCAGCGCTGGGCAACTGAGCTCTTGCAACACCCTAAAAGCCGCGGGGCACCCTGTCAAAGGCATGGTATGTGTCGTTAAACAGGGTGCCACCCCCCCAAAATGGCGGGTGCTTTCTCCTCGATCGTGGTTTCCTTGTGAACCAAAATCCCAAACATGGTAGCCTCAAACAACAAACACACCCACATACACATCTGCCTCAAGCTTCTCCATCTTGGCGCGGCCCTGCCATGGCTCGACTTACGGCCGGCGCCACAAGTCACCTGAGTCACGGTGAAGTTGTGTAAGTCGACCCAAAGTTCAGCGAATCCAAGGAGCCGGAAAAAAAAAGACGTCGTCTTCTGGCAAGGGGACTGTCCCCTGACCTTTGGCAGAGGTTTCTGGGCACGGATCCAAGCAATCTCACTTTTTGCCGGGCCAACAAGCATAGGTGATTATTTGGAAAAATCGTTGGATTTCTTGGGTAAATTGGTTTATAAAACCAATCTAAACCTTCCACTCATTGTATTTCTAAGCAAACTAATTGCAAAAAGAACACCTATGCTGGCAGGCTCTGACCCACCTGGAGCCCTTGAGCCAAAGGTTGCGTCGGATTCGACCTGGGGAAAACTCCCTCCACCCCAACCTCTGCTTCTTGGAAACGGTACGGGATTTCGGATATTGAAAAGCAGTTGCAGGGCTCGAAGTTCGAGTTGACCCCACCAACCTGGGTATTGGGGTTGGCCCCTCCAACAGTGGTCTGACTCCCAACTAAACCCAGAAATGGACCCCCTTCTATGAATAAACTGGGGTTGATTAACATGGGGTCAAGATTGAATCTGTACTTTGTCCGGTAGGGAACTCAGAATTCGTAATGGATAGAACCTACTTCGGGGGGATTTACCACTCTGGCTTTCCTGGGTTAACGTGGCTAAGCACACACGAAATACCCTGGCCAATTACAGGGCTCCAAGGCCTTGAACCCTAAGTTCGTCTTACACAGCCAGGCGGTATTTCTGGATCACATTTAGGGCTGCAGGGTACGACTCTGGCACCATTGCTGGCAGTCTAACATCTCTCATATTATGTTTATAACATTCACACACACACGTACATATTGCCGGGCACTTTATTCATCTACAGCAAATCGTTTGAGACTTGCACAGAGCGGCAATCGCACCTCCTCGCAGATTCGCTTTGGCTGATATGATTGCTAGTTCATTTCTTGCACATCTTTGGCGCAAGCTCTCAGCTAACCAGACCTGCTCAGGCATGAGAGGTCAAGCATGAATCACCTGATCCGTGATCATCCCGAAGGCTTGTCATTTGGTGAAGGATAGATGTGGGTAGCGATTTGGACACACCAGCAACCTCATTCACACTGCGACTGCCGAACCGCTCGCCCCCCCTGCAAGTTCTGACTTGCATGTCTGTAAGGGCCGCTTGGTTGACGTTGGAAGGGGAGCAAAAAATCAAGTTTTAGTAGTTAAGTGGGGATTTCCCACTAAACCACAATAAGCAAAAACTGTAAATGCTTGCTGGCCCAAATCTTGCGCTGCGTGAGCTGAAGGCCCCCAGCGTGTTAGGGGTGTCAGTACATATATAGGTCAAAATCCCGTACGCCCGGTGAACATCCCAATCACCACTAAAATAGACTAAAATGGGTGGTGCACCTACCCCAAAATGGTACCATTGGTGCCATTCCTTGCCAATGCACCAAACAAGTCGCTCAACACAGGTCGCAAGGAGGCCTCTCCAGCTTTCCAGAGATTGCGACCGCACCAGCGGCTCCCACCACCAGTAGCAGCATGAAGAGGCTTCCGTCTGCACCCCTGGCCAACTGTCGAAAACAACAAGTCCAGTAGTCCCGTGCGACTTTGCTACCTCAAAATATCACCGTTGTGTTCTTACTCTTGATCATTTGGGTCAAATTAACGATCGTTTCAAAGGACACCAACTGAGATTACAGCTTGACGGTCCAAACCGTCATCTTGCGCTTCTGATACTGACCATCACAAAAAGGGCCAACCTTGAGGCCGGAGGCCAACCATGACAACAAACACGCACATGGATATCGCTTGAACATGCTTCAGACACCTGCAAGACAGTACTGTAGGCCATCCTGTGTTTTGCAACTCAGGTTCTCCACCAACCACTGCTTCTTCTCAATTATTCTCATTGCATTGCAACCGAAGCAACATGCGTGCAGCTTGAAACTCGTTGAGCTGGTCTCGGGCGTGCAAAGAAGAATCTCGGCCAGGGCTGCACGTCCGGCACAGGCTTGGCCGGCTCCTGCAGCCAGACTTGTCTTCCAGGTAGGGGGGGGTGGAAGTTATAGCCCAGAGGAGGTATCAGTTGAACAAATCAGCTAGTTATGACCCAACTAGTCAGATAATCACCATGTTCAGGTCCCAAGTCAAAAGTCAAAAGTCAGCTCCATAGGCCTTGGTGTCCAATAGCAGCTACTCTCACATGGAAAGGGAGGACATCCATGGCCCTTGCTATTTGCAGCAACACTCATTTTCAACCCATGCTCCAAAAGAGCTATCAAGGTTTTGATAGGAACGCAACTGCAGGCTGCATGGAACTACCACCGTTTGCCTTCTGGCTTCACTTCAAATTCAAATAGGGGTCGTTTTTTCAGAACTCCAGACGTTTCCGGAGGACGGTCCAAAAAAAAAAGGGTTCCCCGCGTGAAAGCAATGATGGGAAAAAGGTAGGGTTGAGTCTCCCTACATTGCTTCTGCACCAATAGAGCGGCCATTGATCGGGGCTCAGTATGCCCGCCCCTTCCACACATTTACGGTGGGCATAGACCACTCATTTGGGCCTGTCTTCTAGGGGGGCGGTTTCTCTTGCTTTGCTTTAAGACCAATTTGGTGGCGACATGTCCCCGGCCTCCTTGACCACCTTCAGCGGAGATGGCGCCCTTGCAACCTGAGAATGCCAATGCCCTGGGGGGGGTTGAACGCAACCCCATGTTAAGAGGAGCCCGACCCACCTTCCCCAATTGCAAAAGCAGTACACATGGAATACACGAATTTAATGAGCCGGCCCTACTTTTTCTCTCAAAGCCAAATCACACAGCAGGAAACTATTCTTCGGCCCCGCATGCTGCCTGCGCCTGTCCCCAAGAGGCAAAAGCCGCACCCAGCCTGCGGTTCTTCGGGCCAATCAATGGCCGGGCGATCTGCAACTACGGCCTGGCGGCCAGAGGTCTGCCCAAAAAAACACCTACCTCACATGAGCAGCGGGTCCCCAAACTCTAGGGGTACCTTCCTGTTTTTTGTTTTTTCTTTTTGGCTCCCAGCCACAAAAAAAGCAGCAAGAATCTAGGGGTTTCCATTCTTGACCCAGGGGGAAACGAATCCGGTTATTGAAAAGAGCGATGGTTGAACAGAATGGGGAATCAACCCGTATAACAACCCGAGTTGACTTTTGGCTCTACCAACTATAAAGTTTATGTGGGCCTCACCCTCTCTTTGTTGCCAGCACCGCCTACCAAAAGGGAGCTGTTGCGGACCCTGCTGACTTCCAAAAGAACTGGACATGACGAACATGAGCCGGAAGTCGAACACCAACAGGTACTTTTGGGCCGAACCCCCTTTCACAGCTTCGTGATGACTCCGGTTTTCACATGGATGTTTGAATGTGGAACCAACTTGCGGTTCAGCGGAGCGGATGCCGAACCGACGCGCTTGGCCTGAAAGGCATGTCTGTTTGCTTCTGGTTGGGGAAAGGAATCCCGGACTGGGGAAGCACACCAGCCCCTAGTTATAAGAGATGAACTCATAGCTGTATCAAACCTGATCGGCTGGGGAAGGGAGTGATATGAATGCATCATCAAGCGACACTATGTCACAAGGCAAAAAGGCCATCCACCATGACTCTGGGACGTCCCTCAATCTTCGAAGCTGGCGTGAACCAATTCTGAAGTGCGAGTCTGCTTCTGTTCCACAAGAGCTCAGCGCCGGTTGGGACACTCAAACGTATGTCGATTCTGGCTGCCGGGGCCAAAATACACTGTTCTTTTGATTTCCCCTGCGCGCCCATGTTTGCCTTGCAAGCTGCCAGGTCCGTAAGTGAAACTCTCTCTAGTGACTGGCCAGCCTGGGTCGTTGGCGCAGGATCTGGATCCAAGTCTCCCACATCCGCCAACATTGCCTGCGCCAGGTTTTCTCGCAGGATTTGTGTGGACATTGTCTAAACGGGGTCATGATTGAGACAGGTGGATGCTGGGCAATTGGCTCCTGGCAGGTGTCTCCGCCATTGAGACATACACATGTCTAAACCATGCAGCAAGCTCTGCAAAACCTGCGCTAGAGTTGTCAACACTTCAAGTGCGGTTTGTTCAAAAAGTGCATGTCTTTGTTTGGGCCCCTTTGTGTCGGCCTCTAACAAAATAATAAACGAGCTCTCTGTCGGTGTCGGTGTCGGTCCAACATTGCCTTCAAAGGGTCAAGTCACTGCAATTATTCCCGTTTTGGGGACAATTAAATTGGAAGCCACAAGTCAATTGCAACGCTGGATGGGGAACGTCTAAATATCCCATGATAATTTTCTCCTGAAAGAAACTCAAAGTAGACGATGGGTATATTATTGTGTCTTATGTTTTCACCCAGAAGAAACTGTAGCCCCTGGCCTCCTGCTCGCAGTCGGAGGGGCCTGCAACTGCTTGGGCTGCCGCAATCCGCCGCGATCCATACTCCTGGCATACCGAACCCCCCCTGGTTTCGAGCCAAACCTATGAAGGTCTAGGGGGAGATTAACCACATTCCCTTTCGAGGAACGAAGCAGTGCTTGGCTTGTGCGGAGCATCCCTCTCTTAGGATCGACTAACCCATGTCCAAATGCTGTTCACATGGAACCCTTCTCCACTTCAGCCTTAAAAGTTCTCCCTTGAATATTTGCTACTACCACCAAGATCTGCAGCAAAAGCTGCTTTGCTTAGGCTCACGCCAAAAACTATCAAAAACTGCTTAACAACCGCTACGCCCTCCTACTCACTGACGAAGCGCTTGCGTCAGTGGTTGGGCATCGGTCACCCGCTTGAGCGCCATCTATTTTCGGAGCTAGTTACACACTCCTTAGCGGGTTTCGATTTCCATGACCGCCGTCCTGCTGTCAAAATGAACCAACACGCTTTGTGGTATCTGATGAGCTTGCAGTTAAGCACCTTAGTCCCTAGTCCCAAAGAAAGCAGGTAGAACTTTGTGCTAAGGCCAAGGTGTCTGGTCAAGAATCCCTAAAATGTTGGCCATGGACATGGTGCCCTTACTTGGAAGACTTGCAATGGTTGTCGGAATTCCTTTCCCGGGGTCCAAGACCAGCCCTCGCATGTCCCCAACCTGAAATAGGGCAAACAAAGCAGCGAATTCTTGAACAAACCTCATATAGACCCCGAGACCAGACCCGCCTTCTATGGCCATGGCTTAAAAACCGACCTCCGCAACGTCCGAAAATCCTCGCCCGGCCCTCTCCTGCAAATGACACCAGTGAATGCCAGGTGAAGGCGAGCTCATAGTGAAGTAGGCACAGCCAGGAGTTCTGAAGCATCTGGCCTCACGGATCAAATCGCCGGATTCATCTGGCGCATTCATCTGGAAATTCCAATATTTGAAAATAGAAATAAGGTCCCCAAGTAAAGGTGTCTCCCCCAAGAGTGGTCCTTTTGATCCCCTCTTATCCCCTCTTAAATGGGTCCGGCCCTCAATCAAAATCAACCGGTTGTGTGTATCCACTACACAACTTGGGTCTCGAAGCGGACCACTCAACAAGCACCAACAAGTGGGGGGGACTTCTGAAGGCAACACTGACGCCTTTGCAGTCTTTAGAGGGAATCATAGAGAAAGTAGAGACCAGCAACACATGTTTTCACAACCATGATCCTACGGTAGGAAGCCAGACCGAAAGCCTCCAGTAAAAGCTGAGGCACATCCGAACTACGAAACCCCATCACCTGCTCACCCTCGTCCAACGTGCAAGGCGCAGTGCGGATTGACTGAACAACCGGATCTTCTAATTCGGCTCCCGATTCTCTCATCAGCACCTATGCCGATTTTCTGTCATGCTTTGCGGCCGACGCAGAGACACCTTTATCAGATCCACAGGCCTTTGGTTCATGTTGATACCCCAGCCAGTCCCACAATGCCCCAACCCCCGCCTGACACTCGGACGCCGAGTTCACGCGACTGCGGCCCTGGCCCGGCATGTTGGGCCTGGCTCCAGCGCGCGCAGTCGCTATGGGAGCAGTGGAAGCTGTCAACCAACAAGTTCGAAGTCTGCGATGACCCCAAAGGCTACACCAAGACGTAGAGAGTCCTGGGCTTTTGGGAGACACCTGGTGTTCTCAATAAGACATGCTGACCCAGCTGCCCAAAACTCTGCCAGCCGCACACATACTTTGCACCAGCCCAGAAGCATGGAGGTTGGTGCCGCGGTACAAGGTCTGGCTCCACCTTCGGCAGTCGCAACTTGCCGCTGGGAGTGTAGGTCTGGCCAAGCCTTGGTTTTGAGCCTGTTGAAATAAACAAGTGCCTAGCCAACTACCAAAATTGCTTCCCAGGAAAAGAAGCCAGTGGGTAGTTGTTTAACTGCTTAACCAACCTTTGCCTAACCTTGAAAGGCACAAACAGTTTCAGTTGGAGTGTCAGGCAAAATATCAAGGCATGAAAGGCTGAGGTGCACACCGGCACGTCGATGCGGGTGGGCAATTCCACTGCCGGCATTGCGGGGACTGCCTGAGGCTCAAGGAGATCACTGGCCGTGCCGTGACTGCCATGGGTGAACAACAGGAACGAACACATGCCCCACTATGGCGCACAGCTATGCCACTCACCAAGCTTGAACTGTGGGCTTGCAACACAGCAACAATGGCACGAGATTGACTTCAGTGGAAGAAAGTCATTTCGCCCCTCTTGGCATAAATGACACCCTACAAATCATAGTTGATCAACCACCTAACTGGGTGCGAAATGGATTTCACCCACATCACAGCGCTTTGCAGCCAAAGCTCAGGGGGACGCCAGGCTTCTCTGGCTGGGCCTCCGGATGCTTCCGGCCCGTTCTTTCTCACGGGGAGCAATCCGATCAGGCATTTCTTTGGTTGTCCAGGGGTAGAAACTCGGCAACTTTGGGGGAAGGGAAACCAGGGCAAACCAAAGCAATCTACTCATGTGGTTTGATCATCTCTGTTTTAGAGGCTCGGAGCAGTTCTTTTTAGAGTTGGTACTCGTTTTGGGGCTAGTTGAAGGGGAGCCCCCGGAACCCCATCATTTTGCAGGCTGCCAAAATAGTTCTCCTCACCCTTGTTCTCTACAACCCTTCTAAGCCCAAGGGGCGTTTGACCACAAAGGCGCTTTGCGCAAAGCTGGCACTACTGCTAGCCTTTGCCCTTCTCCAAACATCTGCCGCGCTTTTGT